TCATCTAAACTTAATCACCTCCTGAGGCCCTAACCTCGAATCCAGTCACATTGGTGGCCAGGGCTTCAGCATATACATACTTTTGTGAGGGTGAGCACAAACATTTAGTTCATGACAGTGGTTCTCCCTTCAGCCCATAAGCATTTCTCAAGCACCCTCAATGGGTTGACGCTTGAGGGGTAAATCAAGCTAGCTGTCATCTTCAAAGGTGCCCCTTTCTAGAGGAGAAGACACATGAGCAAAATTTCAGTATGAGAAAAGTGCTCTAATAAAATTATGAACTTACGTTCATAGCTATGAGAGCAGAGGTAGAAGCACACTGCCTGCAGGGGTCAGAGAAGGCTTTGCAGGGAGCCATATTTAGGCTCTGTCCAGATCAAGGTTGCCCAACCCATGTGAGACCCAGGACAGCTTTGAATGTGGCCCAACACAAATTTGTAAGCTTTCTTAAAACATTATGAGATTTTGTTGCAATTTTTTTTAAGTTCACTGGCTATTGTTAGTGTCAGTGGATTTTATGTATGACCCAAGATAATTCTTCTTCTTATAATATGGCCCAGGGAAGCCAAAAGATTGGGCACCTCTGGTCTAGAGTAACATATAGAACAGTGCCCTGCAGTTGGCAGGAAGCTAGGTATCCCAGGTATCAGGAGCAGCATTTGAAAAGGCTCAGGGCCCGGGTAGCATTTAAGAACATTCTAAAATGTTCTAAAATGAACATTTTAGAACATTTACCATCAGTTTGGTAATGCTTGAGCTGGGAGACCCATGTGAAGGGATTAGGCTAGAATTCCAAGCAAGGAGCCCACATGGACATCTGTATGCCATAGAAACCATGGACTTTTTCTATGTGCATCGTAAACAGAAGAGGAATGCAATAGAGTGAGGATGGGATCACGAATGGAGGGAAACAGCAGAAGTACATGACCACAGAGAATATGCCAGATGGAAGTGCTACATATTCACAGTAGAAATGGTGCATTAGGAGGAGAACGGTTTCACTAAGGGACTAAGTGCCGGGCCAGAAAAGAAGGAGTGAGAGAATGCTCAAGGTTTCTGGTTTGAATTCTGAACAAGAGAGGGATCCTTTAACTGACTTGGGAAATACCTTCTTGGGCTACTTTCAGCTGAGAAATGTTACCATCGAGGTAGCGATGGCTTGGAGACAATTGTCTAGACTCCACCTGGAGTTCAGGGGTGACTTTTGCAATCAGGATATAGATGTTGGAGTCTTCAGCAAATAAATGGCCATTCAGGGGTTTCACCTCAGGCCTAGGCAGTGATGGTAGAAAGTTAAGGGAATCACCAGGCCATCTTGAAAATCGGGCCCCATGTGTGTGGAGGGGACATCCTCTCACGAAGCCTGCCCTGTTGGGGAGAAGCTAGAGAGACAGAGAAATGGAGATTTGGGGAACACTACGGGCAAAGGCAGTGCTTTGGTGGCTGCTGAGGAAATGATTGCAGTGAACTCACAGGTGAACAACAGTCCGTCAGCTAAAGTCACATGCTGGCAGAAAACTTTAGTGTATTAAATATGGGCATTTTCTCCCTTGAGATGATGTTTAACAGAAACCTGCCTTGGATTATGAAGTTTATGAAATGCTACATCAGATCGAACATCAGACCCATTATCTGAGCCTTCCAGGGAAGGTAAGCAATTTGTACTATAACAATAGCTAGTATAAGGGAAAACTAAGTGCTGGGCACCACCTCACAGTGATGTGTGGTTACTGCAGAAGACCCAGGCTGGCAGCCTGGCTCCTGAAGGCCCCATGCAGTGGCTTTACGGAGCTGAAGGATTTGCCAGAGTCCCAGGGCTGGCCCCACTTTACAAGCTGCTACTCAGGGGCAGAGGCACATTTTCCAAGCTCATTAGACTCAAATGTAAAGCGAGAATGCCAGTGTAATAATTTCAGAGAAATAAAGCTGTCACACAGCCGTGGTTAGCAGGACCAACACATTCTGTCCTGAAGGTTAAGCCATAGGAGAAACCAAATCACCATCAGGTGACTCTTTGTTGAGATACCCCAAACACTGACTGCATCAGGACCTGATATTCAAAGTAGTGTGTTCAGCTCTTTCTCCTCATATACTAAGCCAGCTTATTCATTAATGATGAGAATTTACTGTTGCAGGAACTTTAAATTGGCAGACCTCCCCAGGGGAAGCCAACCCACAATCAGAATCTTCTTGTGTGCACAGACTAATCACTAAGGGCTGAGAAGTGGTGGGTATTTAAATGGCATCTGGCAAAGGTGTGCTGAGATGTGCATCTCACAGAAGGGACAGCTTCTGCCACTAGGAGATGATTTGGCAAGTCTCTGCCCGTTGTTGTTGCTCTTGAGAGACTCTTACCAAGAGAGCCAGGCGCTCAGGAGTCCCTCAGCCATTGTGCCTCTCTTCTCTGGAGGGATGGTATAAACACTTGCCTGTGAGACTCTTCTTCATGTCCACTGTAAACACTGGTTGTCAAATAGAAACACTTTTTTTCTCCAGATATGGAAATGAAAGCAATCCGCACTGCAGTCTCACGAGCCCCTTGGGCCCTTTAGAGGGTCATTTTGCACATCTGTACGTGTTGCTTTAGGTGTTGATGTTGCAGCTGAGAGAATGTGGGGGTGTCTTGCTGTGTCTCTTAACTCCTCAAAATTGTTCAGTGCAAGAGCCCAGGCTCAAAGCCTGGTGTGCTGGATCCTAGCCCCCGGTTCTTTTCACAGGTCAAGTCCCCCATCCGCTGTCTCCGGAGCAGGCTCTCTCAAACGTTTTGCTTAGTCGTCCTCTCCAGCTCTGAGTCTCTGGTCTACGGTTCTGCAGTAGTCACTGAGCAGCAGCCTTAAGTATGAATGATTATGGGGAAGAGATTAAAAGAAGAGGAACTGTTCTCAAGAGCCTATAGTTTTAAAAATCTGCATCCTTCAATTCTGATTTAGATTTAAATCTAGCTCCTGGTGTTTTTGAATCTTGACTCTTACTTTAAATTTCATGAAAATTAGAAACAGCACGTGCGCTGCACGGTGATGGTGCTGCCATGACTTTCCCTCTTTCTCCTTGCTGTAGTCCACCCAGTGCTTCTTGGAGGGTGTTCCCTGGACCAGCGGCCTCAGCATCAACTGGGAACTGCTTAGAAATGCAAAGCCTCGGCCCCACCCCAGACACACAAAATCGGAAAGGCTGGCTTGGGACCCGGCAGTCTTGTTTTAATCACACAGAGCCTCTCTCTACTCTGATTCGATGCGTGACTTCAATGCACACTCAAGTCTGAGAACTTTCATTCTAGCTTTGAATACTTTAGTAAATATCAGGACTTTAGAAGAATAAGGAAAAATAAAACAAGAGCAGTTACAATAATACTTTGGCTCTTAGGTGAAGGTGTGGCCATCTTTAGGTATACTAGGTCATAGTTGGTTAAAATTAGAATTTAACTGAAGTCATCTGCTTGTTTTCACTTATCCAAAGAATTCCTGACCCACATGTACTCAGTCAGCAAAATTAATATTCTAAAAAAGTCAGCTGACATTATTTGCAAAGGCTCAGATCATTTTCTGATAGGTTTCCTTTAAATCCATTGACCTGTTTTATCTGACTAGATAAACCAAACAAACACGAAATAATTGAACTTCCTCAGATGCCACTTTCCAGCATCCCTTCTCATAACCCTGGAGTAAATACACTGATGTACATAATTTTACATAAAGATCAAACTCCAAGTAAATGCTATGAGATTTCTTGTCTCAGTGTCATAGTTGCGCACTTCATAAAGGGGAAGTAGGACAAAGGTCCTTAGAAAATAAAAAATCTGAATGACATAAAAAGGAGTAATTTAATATCATGTTAACTCATTCTATATGATACCAGGTAATGCTGCATCATGGCAAAGACACGGTGTAAAGTATTCCCATATGATTTTGGAACCATTAATATGAGAATTCCATATTTTATAACATCAACAAACCAGATGAACCTCATCCACTTAAAGTAGAGAACAGTGAAAAGAACAAATGTCTTGTGAAGAGTGGAAATGAGAACAATGTGTCTGAGGTTAAACAGTGGAAATAAGTTGCGGATGTTGTGCATGAAATAATTATTTCTATAGTGCAATTTCTGTATTTAGTTTATAAGCATGTCAGGTTGTACGATCCAGACATATATGAAGGAAAGAAATAACAATCTACATGACATGTGGAGAAAGTCGCTGCATAAAAGCAAGTTTCATAAAAGGCTTATTAAAATTGAATCTTTGAAAAAACAAAGCTCATCTAGCTAGAGCGTGTGTGTGTATATATATGTATGTATGTATATATATGATGTGCCTGTAACTCATTTAAGCCCACTACAAGCTTTTATGAATGAAATATTTCTTCAACTATTTGATAATCTAAAGATCTAAAGGGATTATGAGCTAAGAATTTATATAAAAACCAAACCAAACAAAAATAATAATAATAAGCTCACATAAAATTTAAATTGCTACCATGATGAACAATAATAGTGCCCTAATTTTTATCTAGGCTGATTTTACATGTTCTGGATAGTTATTGTGTAGGTAAATGATGTGTTATATGCTATATTAAAGTTAAAAGTCTGTTTTTAACCTCACATAAATTTCCAAAATAATGGGCAACAGTATGGAGACTCTTGAGGCATTTAATCATACCAAGAGAATATAATAACATCACAAAAGTAAAACAAGTCTAAATTATTTTGCACATTAAAAATTAAGGAATTGTGACTCAGGCAGGACTAGTGATTGATTCAAAGTCACAAAACCACTTATAGTTGGATTCAGAGCCTTGCTACTCAATCTAGTACCCATTCTAGTGGATGATAGATTTGATATAGACAGGTCTATGCTGTTCCCTTCAAAGAGGTATTTAGGACACAACTCCTAGGGAGGTAAACTGTTGAAGACCAGCTCCTTTCAGGCTGGCCTCTCCAAGAGGCCCATGGAAGTCATTACAGACTAGTGCTTAGGCATTCAAGGATAAATCAAGGTGTGAGCTTGCAGCTGAAACCAACTTCTGCCACCAAAAGTCCTTGGCTCCAGTGCCCTGATCACACCAGCACAGGGACTAAGGCAGCTCAAGTGACACCATCCAGTCAGTGCTAGGGTCCCTGCTGCAGAATCTCAGGGCTGGAGTCTGACATCTGGCCACATTAGGTGTCTGGGCACTGGCCTAGAGGGTGGCATGCAACGAGCCTCTGCACTCTGCTTTTCCACTCTCCCTGTGTGGAGAATTCACACACGTAATCCCGCATGTCCAGCGTGGAGCTGCTGGCACCTTCACACTGTGGCTTCGTGACATCATTCCTGCAATACCACCATCACTCAAACACTTCCACATTTGAATTCCTTCTGTGAAATATTTTCTAAGATTTTCTTTGGAATTTTGTCATTGGTAAAAATCTTCACACTTCGTATGTGCCCTTTTTTTCTGAATGCGGTGGGGAAGGCAATGGCTATTCAGAGGCAAGTTTGGTGAATAACAGTGAGTGATCCAGCTGCATGATGTTATTTGGTCAAAATAAGTTCTGTGCCCAAAAGAAATAGATGGATTATGTTTTTGGTTTCTAAACTGGCTCCAGGAGTAATTTACAGAGAAGAGCTGTAAGCATATTTGAGTAACATCAATCATTCAACAGATTCTAAACATTAAGGAAGGTATTTGAAGGTTAGTCTTTATCTGACTGGTAAGTTTTGGGATTTTGTTTAAAAAATGTAATAGATTCTATCCATATTGCAAAGGCACAACACACGTAATAGCTCAACTCTTGTCTTCAACTCATTCTTTCATGTCCCCCTCATCCACTTATGAGAAGTTTTATACACATAGCTGCTTATCAAACTGAAAATTTGTGAAACCTTGAAACATTAAAATAAGACTCAATACAGTGGTTCTATGCCAAAAAAGAAATACATTAGGAATATTACTCTTACTAAGTCAAAGTCTATGATAAGTCCAGATAATACCCTCTGAATCAGTGACTCACTAAATACAAATGCACACATGTGACAACCCAGTCAATAGTATTAGGCTGGTACAAAAGTAATTGCAGTTTTTACCATTACTTTTGCCCCAACTTAATATTTATAAAGGATTGTCAATGAGTTATTTGTAAGCTACATTGCACACTGAGGTTGATGAAGTGAGCTGGTTGACCTGCTGCCTGGTGATGGCTGACCAAAAGGACGCCAGATGTCTTTGCATCTGGGGTTCCTAGATCAGAGCCCTGAAAAGCAGCCGTTGTTCCTGACCCAGTTGTTCGCAGGTTCTTCGTTGCATTTTCCCTTCTGTGATTTTCAAAGAAGCTGAATCCTAAGGAGCTGATAACAGGAATGAGAAGACACAGGCAAGACACCACGTATTACGCATGCAGACTGCAGTGTGGTTAATAACAATAAAAGTCACCTGAATCAAAAGTGTTATGAATAGAAGTAAGTAAATATCAGACAACAACTAAGTGACTATTGTAAATATTAAGATCCCCTTTCTCAGGGAAGTAAAGCATAGAGAAATAGAGAAAGCTTAATTAAATCTAGTACTTTCAAAATCTCTATCCTATCAATTAAGATGTATCCATACCTTCCTCATTCTCTCGTTTTTTTCTCATTTCTTTCATATCATTTTTACATTTACTTTCTCTTCATAAAAATTTCCATGTTTATTTGCATGTATCAAAACCACGTATTATTTAGTTTGTGGTATTTTCACACTGCCTCTTTTCACAGTAAAATAATGCCTCTCTCTATGCTTTTATATCTTTATCAATTAAAATTATATATATTAACTACATATAATTTTACATAGGTTGATATAACAAAATTATGTATACACACACATAATTTCTATATATAATATCTATATATTATATACAGAACCAGGTCAATTAAAAACATATAATTACTCTCAGAAATGCTGATACTTGTGCTAAACTATTTCTTCTCACTCATCCTCTGGAGATGGTAGCCATCAGTGTTGATTCAGAAGCAAAGCCGAAACATAATTTCCTGGTACTATCCTGGAAGGAAAATAAATTAGATAAAGTAAAAATGACTACATATCCAATTAGAAAGAGCAACTACCATCTCCACTCCAAAAAAGTGATATAAATAAGTCCCAGTCTGTGACTCGTCTTCACCTTCACGTGCACTGGCTTTAAAGAAGCATTTTATACTCAAATTAAATATTCTCTTTGCTCAAAACTTTATTATTTTAGTTTATGAACATGCATCTTAAAGCAAAGAACTTTGCTGATTTGGTTTTTTTTCTGTATGAGATATTAAAATGTCGATTTTTTCATAAATTGATAAAAATTAATCCTCCATGAAATTAACAAAGATTCAGTCACACACCGTCATCATACTGAATCTTTTTTTTTCTCATTTTTATTTCTACTTGGTCATTCTTCAAATTTGTAATACTCATTTTCCAAGATATTGTTTGATTCTAAACCCATACACTGATATCAAAATTAATTACTTAACAAAATCCCAAGAATGCAATTTATATCCTTAAGGAGAAGAATATTACCCTGACTCAGACTTACTGAATTTATAATATATTTACAGCTAACATAAAACATTCAGTTTTAGGATCATCGAAACAATTTCAAACAGGCAAATCTTGAAAGGCATGCCTAGATTTGCTCTCAGCATTATTTATATATTCTTTCTCTAAGAAATAGTTTCGTTTCCACTTAAAATGCATGATGTACACATCTGCCATATTTTGTTTTATTTTAGAGAACTAAATTCTGCATTATATAGAATATAAAGTTTTAGATTAAAAAATAGAAAACTTTTTAAATGACTTGCTTTGATTTTTTTATGTCCTTTCAACAAAGTGGGCTTTAGTCAGTGAGATGAAAGTAGAAAAAAGATTTTTTAAGAAAGGAACAAATTTTAAAAGGACAAGGTGAATTAAAATTATAGCAGCACAAGTTAGTAGTCTGCAGGGTCAAATCTGAAGATTAGGCTGGGTGTGGTGCTCAGGCCTGTAATCCCAGGACTTTGGGAGGCCAAGGTCAGGAGTTCAAGACCAGCCTGGCCAACATGGTGAAACCCAACTCTACTAAAAATACAAAAATTAGTCAGGCATAATGGTGCTTGCCTGTAATGACAGCTACTTGGGAGGCTGAGGCAGGAGAATTGCCTGAACCAGGGAGGCGGAGGTTTCAGTGAGCCAAGACTCCAACCTGCACAATAGAGCAAGGCTCTGTCTTGGGGGGAAAAAAATTTGAAGACTATCACAGTCATGCAAGTTACAGGACAGTCTTCACTGCTATTCAACAAAGGCATAAGAAGCCCTCCATTGTCAGTTTTCTGTAAGGTTAGATTTGAATCAAGGATCTAACTTTCTGTGACCGTGTTAGCCTGAATTCACTGCATCGGGTTTAGTGGTCACCACAGAAAGCAGAATCCTGAGAGAATGGAATCCAGAACAGGCACCTTGTTGATGGGGGTGAAAAATAACCAAAAAAATGGGAAATATGTGGAGTTTATGTCCAGAGGGGAGAGAGAATGCCCCTGTGAGGAGAAACATAATTGTTCAGCGCATTAAAAAAATTTTTCATCTGATTACCATTTTTCCCAAGACCAAGTCAAGAAAAGACATGATTCAGGTTGGAGAGTAAGGCTGGAAAAGATTTACAAGAAATAAGAACTATACTCAAGATACTCATCCCAGTGTCTTTGCCTTTTCCACAGCCATTTTTGCTATTTTTCCTATCCTTTCATTTACTTCCTTTTCTTAACATACTTTTGACAAGACACACACACACACAAAACTGATCAGCAGTCAAATCAGTGTTTCCAGTAAGAAAGTACAGATTGCTGGCAATGTTTTAGATATATTGGTTTTAATAAAATATATTATTAAAATTTTGAAAAACAAAGTATAGGGGACTTTATTCTAGTAAATAGTTGACTTCCTTTTTGAATTCCTTGGGATACGCTCAAGCATATTAACTTTAGTGTCTCTCTGGGACATGCCACATTTACCTGTGCGTTCTTAGGTTCATAAGAGATTTCCAACCACAGCTACTGAAATATTACCCATTCCTTCCCACCTGTCTGTGGTTTTAAACCTTGGAAAAATTGGGGTGGAGGAGGGAGAATTTCAAAAGAAAAAACAAAAAAAAATCAAAGAGAACAAAAGAGGAAGGGAAGCTGAGAAAAGAAACGTCAGATTGAGAGAGTGGGTGTACTCAGAAGGAAGGAAGAAGAATGGACATCACTAAAAATCTATCTGTGAGACTCATGTCTTCTCTCCTTTCGTTCATTCCAACGTCACACAGGGAACACGGATCCAAAGTACTTCCATTTTTTTTTCTCACAGTAGAAGAACTTCATAGGATACAGTTCTACACTGTTATAAGGAAATCCAGCACAAATTATTTTATTTTGTGACTAAAGTCTGAAGTGATCCCAAGAAGATAGCTTCAGCCACAGAAGAGAACTCCCTCTCCAGTCTTGGATACGGGAAAAGTACCTACCCTCCTGGCTCAAGATAGGAAATAAGAATGGAGGTTTTTAAACTCTCCTTCTCAGTTTTTTTTTTTTTCTTTTATATTTCCAGAAACAGTTACTGGGACAAGGCATTTGAAAGGGTGAAATAAATAATACCAGCCTTTTCAAGGTCACATATCTACTGCATGTACAAATAATAAAAGCATCTGCCGTTCTTGAAGCATTCCAATAACAAAGGGGTTGCAATGTCTGAGTGAGATGATTCAGAAAATACATGTTTTCCGCAACTATTTTTATGGATCCCTAATTTGGATTGTTATATCTTATCTCCCTCTCCTGATTCATTTAAACCGTATCCAAGCCACATAAAAGAATAGATTCTACCAGACTTGCCTTATTTCCTTCAACACCTTCACTGAATTAAAATCAGAAGCTAAAGAATGCAATGTTTCTTTTCTGTACCCTAGGCATAATTCCAGTTTTGACTCATATGTATATAAAATACTTAAGCATCGTGATTCTTCCAGATCATTTCCTGACCTAACTTCCTTAAAAACTACTTAGAAGAGGTCAAAGAACAGTATTGACCCTTTTATTCTACATGGTAGAGCCCTTCAGAAGTCTAA